TGTGAATATGGCATTCGATATAACAAGTTCAAACACTGGCCATCTGACTTTAGCTTGCATTGCCATACAAGATAAGCTACAGCATGCTCTCCTATGGTCAGGTTGTCGTCATCATGTTGGTGAAGTCCTGCTCTCTCACGTCTTTACTGACTTGAAAGTAGAAGCATCCAAATCACCAGATGTCAGACTTTTCACAAGGTTGCAAAGCAATTGGGATCTGATACCACATAATTCAACTCAGATAGTTCTTTTTCGTCCCGCTGATCATGACACACAGCCCCAAGACCTATTGATTAAAATGAAAACTGAGATAATTGATCGAGCTGCTAAAGATGTTGAATTTCTGCATGATGATTACCATGAGTTCACTGAAATATCACTTGTGTTTCTATCTGCATCTAACAATGAGGTGAAATTATGGAGACATGGCGCTCTGCATAAAGCTCAATGAATGGCAAAGCTTATCTACAGTCTTAAAATTGCACTCCGTGAGATGCAAATTGAAGAACTGCCAGCAGGAACCATTACCACTAGTCATTAAGTAACCAAGGTGCATTGTTTTGTCACATTTATTACACATGTCTATGGTGTGTGGTGGCTCACATGTAAGAAGACTGTTGATTCACCATGGAATGATCTACAGTTGAACAAGTGCCTTCTAGAGTATGAAATTGTTGACAAGAACATATCTCAGTCTGCAATTCAAGCACTTAATTTTCATCTTTGTATCTCACAGGTGAAATGATTCCACTTGCTCTGTTCAGTGAATGTGTTCCAATGTCAGAACAATGAGCTCTGGCAGATGTTTTGCTTAAGCTCAGGCCTGTGAATGTCCTAGAAACTCCACTGGATCACTTTGGCAATGGCTGGGAAAAGCCACGTTTTCCATTGTCTATAGAGTGCTTGACACGACTCTGTGACCTTGCTGGAGTGACACTTTCAAAACGTTCTTCAAGTTGTCGAAAGAGATCGTAGAGATGCTCCAAATCTGTGCCGGAAACACTGCAACAATGAAGTACTGTGATTATATAAGATGAATGGTGCCTAAGCAATGATAATAAATCAAACTATTCTATTAACTAACAGTACAATTTAGATTCTTTCCAAATTTAAAATAATTTTTTTTTTCTAAAAAATCTTTTAGTAAAATTTAGTAAAATTTGCTCGTTTTCATAAGAATTGAGAAATATTTTAATTACATTTTTATTTTAGTAATTTTTGTTTCATTTATCAACTTAAAAGACATCATTACCAAAGTTATAGCATTAAAAACAATGAAACATTTATATTGACAAAAAATATGCTAGAA